CTGGTGGCAGATGGTACACCTCGCCATGTTCCTCAGCTTTCTCCTCATTGCTTACCTCCTCCATGATGCCCTGCTTTGTAAAAGATACGACTCGGCTCGTCGGGTAGCTAGAGGGAAAATGAGCAAATCAGTGGCGTTTGAAATATGTTTTTGCGAGGATTATAGTAGGCATGCTACTCTTCAATGATTTCTTCTTACTGAGGGTGGCTTTATCCTTATTTGAACCAGTTTTCTCAACTCCCTGAGGTGTGCTGTTGTTGGTGCCTCCAACTGTGGGTGGTGATTGGTGGTGGTAGCCTGATCTGTTTCTGCTACCTCTTAACTTTCCATGCTAAGGTATGAACATCCAAGTGATGAATAAGGCTACAACTACATAGCTAATAATGGGCTTCAGGCCCCCAAAATAACGGTTTATGAGATACTCATCTGGCTTGATGATATCACACCTCATCTACAACTGATCAAACTGCTCTGTGAACTCCTCTATTGACAGATCCCTCTGTTGCAAGTAGCTGAGCTCAGAAACACATCTAAGCAGTAATAGGGTGAGAGATATTTCTTCTGCATCGTTTTTTCATCTTCTCCCACTTGATAATCTTATCCCAAGAGAGCTGAAGGAGATAATAATCCATGGAATAAACTTATCCCAGACCTTCCCTTTTTCTCTGTCTCTCTAAGTTCTCTCACCACAAAGAGACACACATATACTTTATAGCAGCTAATTTGACCCTCTTATTCTCTGGCACATCCATATACTCAAAAAGATCCATTCAACAAATTGCAGTCAATCAATAAATTCTTCTAGATCCATACCTTCATCAAACTCAGCGGATTCACTTTAATGCTGAAGTCCCTATGCCCTCTACATGATATCTCCTTTTTCAAATTCTCCATATGGAAGGGATTCAGATACCCCTCTTTAGGCCTCCTCTGGCATTGGATTCCAAAACGTCATGGCATGTTCTCTTCATCGTTGAAATTTTCCTTATGGAAGGGATTCAAAGTTTCCTCTCTTTCTCCCCTTCAACTCTCCAGATCTCAGTTGAGGATAATCTTCCTATGGGTTATCTCATCAATCTCTACAAGCCTTTGTTGAATACGACAGAGCTCTCATCGTATCTCCTCTTGGGTAGGCTCAAGCCTATATCTTCTTGGTGGCATGGTTAGGGTTTGGGATTTGTGGAAGTTGAAAGATTATTTGGTGGTAGGAAGAAATTTTTTTGAGTTATGGTAGATGTTGGGAAACCCTAGGATAGAACTAGAGTTATGCTAGCTCCGATACCAAATAATACCGGAGTTAACCTAAACCACGACGAAGCGACAAATATTATTGCTTTTCAAAGAAAGTCAAGACGACCCTTCAACCAAACAACACAAGAACATACAAACAGTAAGAAACAATAATGACTGCCAAATAAGAAAAGGAAAACATAAAAAACAGAAATGACCCCCTCTAAGGAGGGGGTGTGAGTGGCAGAAAAGAGCAGGTGGTGGCGATGCTGGAGGAGCAACAAGTAGTGGGAGGGCTGCGGGGAGGTGCAAGGGACGGTGAGCAATGATCCGGAAGAGGTCGGCGGTGATCAGGGCAGCACTTAGAAGAGGGAACAATAACCTGGGAGAAGTCAGCGGTGGTCGGGGCAACACTCGGCAGAGTCTACAACAGTCTTGAAGGAAAAGGATGGGCTGGAGGCAGCAAGATAGAAGTGGCGTACAATAGTAAGGAGTGTGAATGGGGTGGCCAACGATGATTGGACTGTGGCAAGATGACAGGCAGCAACAAGACGAATACATCCCTAGGAATGGAAGAATGACACAATGGCAAAAAATTGAAATTTAGAATGATAAAAAACTAACTCTAAAGCACTCAAATAACGCATAAATAATAGTTGCTAGTAGCTCATAAAGGAGGGAATAGGAATTGGAAAAAAATAGATATGGGAAAGGGTATAAAAGAGGTAAGCAATAGAATAGGAAGAAGATCCTCCTTTTGGAAGTGAGTGAAATAGGAAGATGGGAGAGGGGAGGGGCGATAATTGCAGCCCCAATAGAAAGTTGGTCAGTCCAACCTCTCTGCTAGACAAGCACCCATATGCTCACCGCGTCAAGGGAAAGTGAAATAAGCGAGGGTTTTGGGCAGAGATGAGAAGCTTGTGCGAAACCAGAAGAGGGGGAGGATGTCAGAGAGGGGAATAGGTAATAGGGAGATAGGTTTGTGGTTTTAATTTATTTTTATTAGACTTAATTATATTATTTTAATTTATTGATAATTAATAAATAATTTATATAATATTAAATTAATTATAATTAGATAAATATATATGTAATTATTTAATAGTAAATTAATAAATAAATAAGTATTTTAAATTTCAAATTATTTAAAAAAATTCTAAAGAATTTTAAATTATATAACTAATAATTGATTAATGTTAAAGTATTGATTAATTAATAATTAGTTTTAAAAAATAAATATTAATTTATATAACTTATTATTAATTAATGTAGATGACTAAATTTCCCTTTTTTATTTCTTTTGAGACTTTGGATACTCATTTCTTTTGGGACTTTAGAAACTTAAACTCGCTCAAGATGAGGTCTGTAAAATATTAATGATATAACAAACTTGTGGTTGGTTATAATTATGGTTGTACAGTAAGTCAATTGGGAACAAAAAAAATTTTGAGTTATCCTACACAGCATAAGCTTGCAAAGTCAGCTGGTGGCACTATTGTATGCACTTATTCAACACAGATATAGATTGATTTTAAAACTAGACAAAGATCGCTCATGAATCAGGTATAACCGAAAATCACAATCCACCAATTCAAATTCTTATATTACTTGATTTTGCTTTTCAATGAAAAGATTCAACGACCTTAAATTGTACCAATCCCAGTTAAATGCTTGAAATCCTTTATTCATGGCAACATACCATCAAATCTCCCAGCCTTTTGAACTAAAGCAAATAATCTTAGCAAAAACTTCCTACTCCAATTATTTTATGTTGTCATAAATACAATGTACATTGCTCTACCGAATCTTTTTTTGTTTATTCTCACATATTAAGTACCCGAGAGATCACTCAAATTTTTTTTATTTAATAATTATCTTTGGATGTTCAATAAATCCTCATAAATCATGCTAAATCCTTTCAAAATTGTCAAACAGTTTTTCCAGATTTATCAGGATTTACTTGCTAACATACCAAACAGTTTTCAGAATTTAGCCACCTTGATAAATCTGGATTTATAAGATTTATTAAATTCTATTTAAACTGAATCCTACTTGCAACAAAACGTCCCTATATCTGGCCAAGCAAAGTGAACAATGGAATTTAACCTTTATTTTGATTCTAAAATGATTTTATTTCTTTTCTAATTCATTAATCTCTAGTAATGGAACCGACAAGTTAAGAATTCCTCTAAACGCTTCAAAATCACAAGTTTAACTTAGGAAACTAGTTATAGAATTTTAAATTATATAACTAATAATTGATTAATGTTAAAGTATTGATTAATTAATAATTAGTTTTAAAAAATAAATATTAATTTATATAACTTATTATTAACTAATGTAAATGACTAAATGTCCCTTTTTTTATTTCTTTTGAGACTTTGGATACTCATTTCTTTTGGGACTTTAGAAACTTAAACTCGCTCAAGATGAGGTCTGTAAAATATTAAAGATATAACAAACTTGTGGTTGGTTATAACTATGGTTGTACAGTAAGTCAATTGGGAACAAAAAGAATTTTGAGTTATCCTACACAACATAGGCTTGCAAAGTCAGTTGGTGACACTATTGTATGCACTTATTCAGCACAGGGATATAGATTGATTTTAAAACTAGACAAAGATCGCTCATGAATCAGGTATAACCGAAAATCACAATCCACCAATTCAAATTCTTATATTACTTGATTTTGCTTTTCAATGAAAAGATTCAACGACCTTAAATTGTACCAATCCCAGTTAAATGCTTGAAATACTTTATTCATGGCAACATACCATCAAATCTCCCAGCCTTTTGAACTAAAGCAAATAATCTTAGCAAAAACTTCCTATTCCAATTATTTTATGCTGTCATAAATACAATGTACACTGCTCTACCGAATCTTTTTTGTTTGTTCTCACATATTAAGTACCCGAGAGATCACTCAAATTTTTTTTATTTAATAATTATCTTTGGATGTTCAATAAATCCTCATAAATCATGCTAAATCCTTTCAAAATTGTCAAACAGTTTTTCCAGATTTATCAGGATTTACTTGCTAACATACCAAACAGTTTTCAGATTTAGCCACCTTGATAAATCTGGATTTATAAGATTTATTAAATTCTATTTAAACTGAATCCTACTTGCAACCAAACGTCCCTATATCTGGCCAAGCAAAGTGAACAATGGAATTTAACCTTTATTTTGATTCTAAAATGATTTTATTTCTTTTCTAATTCATTAATCTCTAGTAATGGAACCGACAAGTTAAGAATTCCTCTAAACGCTTCAAAAGCACAA